CTCGGCCCAACGAAGAAAGAATTTCAAATACATTCTGATGCTTGATCATTTGGTCTGGTTTTGGGAAGTGGGTTGGGCTGAGAACTTTTCAGCATATCTGCCACCGTGATATGCGTGTTGTTGGCGCGTGTGTGTATTGTGTCTTTTAAATAGCTGAATTTGTTTCGCATTGGCGCCAGTTGCCGGTGTTAAGGCCACGGCTAATTGCTAATTTTGAAAGCAGACTGACATGCTCGTTCTTTCTTGGAAGTTGACATTCCCAAGAGGTTCGAGGCCAGAAGTAACCAGTTGATCGATAGATATGAACAGACTGAGGTAGATATATTGAAATGAATTGATTATAGCAATATGAGAGGGAGAGGGAAAGAGGAAAGGGAGAGAGAGAGAGAGAGGGATAGACGTGTTCAAAAGAAACAGAAAACAAACTGAGGTAGATGTATTGAAATGGATTAATTCTAACAACATGATGGAGGAAGATATATATATAGAGAGATGTGCTCATAGAACAGACTGAGGTAGAGATATTGAGAGCAGGAGAGAGAAGGAAAGAGAGAAGGTGAGAGAGAAGTAAAGAGACATAAGGGAAGAGAGGGAGGGAGAAGGAGAGAGAGAACAAGGAGAAAGAAGGAAAGAGAGAAAGAGAAGGAGAGCGAGGGAAGAGAGTAGGGGAGAGAGAAGGTGAGAAGAGGAGGAGAAAAAGAGAGGAGAGAGAAGAGGAGAGAGAAGGGAAGACAGAAGGGGCGAAAGAAGGGGAGAGAAGGGAAAGAAAGAGAGGAGTGGAGAGAAAGAAGGGAAGAGAGAGAAGGGGAGAGAGAAAGAGAGAGGAGAGAGAAGAGGAGGGGGAAGGGGAGATAGAGAAGGGAAGAGAGAAGTAGAGAGACATAAGGGAAGAGAGGGAGAGAGAAGGAGAGAGAGAGAACAAGGAGAAAGAAGGAAAGAGAGAAAGAGAGGAGAGAAGGAGAGCAAGGGAAGAGAGTAGGGGAGAGAGAAGGTGAGAGGAGGAGGAGGAGAAAAAGAGAAGAGAGAGAAGGAGGGTGAAGGGGAGATAGAGAAGGGTAGAGAGAAGGAGAGAGGAAAGGAGGGAGGGAAGGGAGATAGAGAAGGGTAGAGAGAAGGAGAGAGGAAGGAGGGAGGGAAGGGGAGAAGAGAAGGGTAGAGAGAAGGAGAGAGGAAAGGAGGGAGGGAAGGGAGATAGAGAAGGGTAGAGAGAAGGAGAGAGGGAAGGAGGGGGAAGCGGAGAAGAGAAGGGTAGAAGAGAGAAGGAGAGAGGAAAGGAGGGAGGGAAGGAGATAGAGAAGGGTAGAGAGAAGGAGAGAGAGGGAAGGGGAGATAGAGAAGGGTAGAGAAGGAGAGAGGAAAGGAGAGAGGGAAGGGGATATACAGAAGGGTAGAGAGAAGGAGTGAGGAAAGGAGAGAGGAAAGGGTAGAAAGAGAAGGGTAGAGAGAAGGAGAGAGGAAAGGAGAGAAACATTCTGTTACACTGGCATAAAAGAAAACGTGATGCCTGATCGCGCGTTACTCAAAACATATAAAGAGATAAATATCAGCTAATTTATAAAGATATCATCAGACAGACAAACACACACGCAAATGTTCAGAAGTAATGATAAATAAACGAAGATTAATATAAACATAAAATATACAGGAAATATCTAGACATTTGCTTACATTTACTGTAAATAACACAGGTGATATATTTTTCGATATAATCTGCTATACGGAATAAACTAGTCATCCCTCGATTAATGCGCATTCGATTAATGCGTTTTCGATTAGTGCGGTAAAATTTTTATGTACCAAAATTCGATTAGTGCATACATAATACTTGATTAGTGAGGTAAAATCTTTCTCAATTTAACCATAGTAATTAAAAATTGATTTTTTTTAATTGTTACAGATTAATTAAAAATTTTCGAAAATGTAAAAATGGAAATGAGTAATTGTTTGTCAAATATTAAGTTATGTAAGTAATTAAGTGTTAAGAAAATGGATGGTTATAAATAGATAAATTTTATAATATAAGCCAATGATAAAACTCCATATTTGAATATTTCTCTCTATTAAAACTTTTTGAATATTTTGATGTTTTTCGTGTTTATTTTGAAGGACTTAAAAAGAAATTTCGGATTTTTTTTTATCAAAAAATGGACAATTTAATTAGATACAGAAATTTACATTTATTAAGAAATATCGAAATGTAAACGATGTTTGCATTGATTATTGAAAGATTATCTTTTGAATTTGGCACTCACATGATATATTGAAAACAGGAGGAGTAGAAGGAAACGAAAGGAGAAAAAAGAGGAAGAGAAGGAAGAAGAAGAAGAAGAAGAAGAAGAAGAAGAAGAAGAAGAAGAAGAAAGCGGCCATTGAAGCCACTCTTTATTTTTCCAATGTTCTCCAAAATCATGTTACTTTTAGCTCCCTGCGCAAATGTTAAATTTTGTTTTCGATCCGCCAAAGAACATTCTCAAAATAAATTAGAAGGATTTTCTAAATAGTTATGAACGAATTTAATTCCAGACCGATCTTTTTCCTATGATGTGGTAACGAGATTTTAAACCATACATTCATAATTTATACGTAAGAACCAATGGTCTGGAATCATCTGCATTTTCTTTCGAGTGACAATTTGATTCGCTTTGACTTTGCTGTTTCTGTATTTCTCGTGAATGCATTTTCCTTGAATCATCCAGTTTGAGGAATAGTTTTAGTAGTCCTTAACTTCCACTTCAGAATAATGGATCCATTGGCATTGAAAGCCATTGATAACATGTTGGCGCCGTTGCAAAATTCTTCATTATGTTGATTCATTACATAATTCTTTTATTGAATGCTATTTTAATCTTTAATTTTTTGTAAGAAGTCATCAAAGACAATATTGATGGCATTAGACACATGGGAAATATGAACTGGAAGATTCCAAAGTTTTCCTAAGAAGAAAAATAGAGAAATCCAAGGTTTTATTCCATCTTGACTAAAATTTTCATGTTAAATATCAGTTACATTTATTTATATCATATTCTCAATTCTTGTTGAAAAAGGTACTATGGTTAGGCTTTTCTTTTAATATTTAATGATTGTTTTCTTTTCGAAAGTGTGTAAAAATTGTTCTGTATATCCAAGCGCTTTCGATTATTTATTAGCCATTATCAAGAATATATATTTTTTATCTGAATGTGTAGATTTTTTTATGTTTCGAGAGTGATTGGAATGTTTTATTATTTTCCAAACATGGTTATCAAAATATGGCCGTGTTCATTGTTGATATTATTCAGTGTTGGCGTTTTTTCCCTTTATTGTTAATGTTTTTATTATTTTTAGTCATTTTACGTGTGGATGAGATTATTATGTTTTCTACAAGTATGCTGCGGATGGAGGTTGGTAGGTTTGCGTGTGTGTTTAAATGAATCCTGATTGAGCTATGGTCATAGAGATGTAACGTGAGTCTACTTGATAGGGATGTAGTGGTATGTCCAATATAATTATTTATGAGTTTAGTTTGATTAGGAATGCAGTTCCTTAAGAGGCATGTGAATTCATAAATAATATTGGTTTCTCTGTCATTTAGGTCTTGCAGAAATATTGTTGATGATTAGGTTAGCTGTTTTAAAAAAATATTAGTAGATAACTACATTTTCTCGTTCTGTTCGACTGGGGTTGTGTATTTCTTTACAATGTCACTAAGAGAAAATTCATCAGGAGAAGGTATATGTAATATGAGCATATATTATATTAATTTGTTATGGTAACTTACCCACGCAGGTATGGACTCTGCCAGCTATAAATAGGAGCAGGTAGGGCTTTTTTGGTGTTTGAAGTTTCCAGCAGTCAACTCTGACAGTCGGCCCGAACATTCTTGATATGACATTCTCGTTTTTATATGTTTTGTATTCTGTTAATATATTTGTTTAACTCAATTCCTCTCTTGTGTCCTCAATTCTGGCCCTAACAAGGCCACAACAATATTAAAATATAAAATACAACAAATAAATTAATTAATAAAATAAATAAATTGCATTCTTCTCGTGCGGCGTCGTTCCCAATGACCGTCATGCTAGATCATTTCAAAAGTCCAACGTTTCATATATATATATATATATATATATATATATATATATATATAAAAGAAAAAGAACAGCAAGATATATAATCCGGTGTTCTTATAGATATTTTTATTTTTACAAAATAGTGCTCAATGTAAATTTACAGAGCATTAATATTATAAATTAATTGATTTAAAATATGTTTTTTTCGCTACACAGTTCTAACCATGTTTCAAAAATGGAAGCTAAAAGCCACGAATTTAATTTTGTGATTAAATTAAAGACATTAATTCCATTTCATCCTCAAAAAAAGTTACTCCAAAATTCGCTTGAGGATGAAATAGAACTAATGTCTTTAATTTAATCACAGAATTAAATTCGTAGCTTTTAGCTTCCATTTTGAAACATGGTTAGAACTGTATAGAAAAAAACATATTTTAAATCAATTATTTTATAATATATATATATATATATATATATATATATATATATATATATATATGTGTGTGTGTGTGTGTGTGAAAAGTGTATATGAATATAAATAAATATATGTATATGTATAATTATTTATATATTATATGCGCTCAATATCAGAGATAGAGCTAACATATTTGGTTGGATAGATGTGATTTTGTGACCCTGGGTTTCACGCTTTAGCGATCGTCAGACAATCGCTAAAAGCGTGAAACCCAGGTCTATCACATCTATCCAAATATATATATATATATATATATATATATATATATATATATATATATATATATATTCAAGTGTGAGGTATGCTAATTCAATGTTTCCAACATTATATTTTTTAAAGTGCTCAATAAAGAGTAGAGCTTAATAACATTTATTAACAGTTATAACAAAAATTTTGTGATAATTGTTAATAAATATTATATATATATATATATATATATAAGTTGTATGGATATGAGTTTGCAAACCTGTCATCTGTTTGTCTGATGATCGCAAAAACCAGGGTTAAAAACTGATATCTATACAACTGAATATGTTAGCTCTATCAGTGACATTGATCGCTTTCCAATAAATACCGCATATATAATATATATAGGAAATTATACACACACATATATATATATATATATATATATATATATATATATATAATCAGTGTGGCTAAACATCAAATATATATTTAAATATATATATATATATGTGTGTGTGTGTGTGCCCACGCGCGTGTGTATGTGTTTGTATGCGTTTGTGTCCGTGTATATATATATATATATATATATATATATATATATATATATATATATATATATATATACACGCTGATGTGTGTGCGTACATGTATGTATGTGCGTGTGTGCTTCAGCCTGTGTGTATTTATATTCATATATATGTACATTGCTGTGTGTGTGTGGGGGGGTGTTTGTACCTGCGGGTATTTATATTTATATGTACGTTCGTATGTGTGTGTTTGTGTGCTGTGTGTTCTGTGTGTGTGTCATTGTGTGTCTGTGCGTGCATAGAGAGAACGTTAGGGAGCGTTTCACGTCTTAGATAAATACGGAATAGGATGGAAAAAAAAGAATAAAAATATTAATAAGATAAATAAACTTTCAATCAGTAGCCACAAAAGTCCGCAAAAAAAAAAAAAAAAGGCAAAAAAGACCATTTGTTTGTGACGATAAACCTCCTTAGGTGACTTGTAAATGTTAACGGTTGTCAAGTGATACTTATCACGCTTTATCAAGCAACAAAATAAAGGAGGTAATGGTTTTGTAGTTTCACTCTCTCTCTCTCTCTCTCTCTCTCTCTCTCTCTCTCTCTCTCTCTCTCTCTTTCCAGACCCTTCGGACGGACACGGCGGAGGAAAAATTCCAATTATGATTTCAGAGCTTCACGGATCTCGCTGTCACGATATATTTATTTATTTTACTTTTACTTACTTATTTATTTTAGAAAAGCTGAATGTCCGGACTTTGATTTATTCGCTTTTCATTCTTGTCAAAGCCGAATGGTAATTATATGCATTTCGGTTTTTTTTCCCCCCCAAATACTTACTTGCCTATGTTGAAGGATATAAACACTATCTATCTATCTATCTATCTATCTATCTATCTATCTATCTATCTATCTATCTATCTATCCCGTTATTTTCATTACTATCTATCTATCTATCTATCTATCTATCTATCTATCTATCTATCTATCTATCTATCTATCCCGTTATTTTCATTACTATCAATCTATCTATCTATCTATCCCGTTATTTTCATTACTATCTATCTATCTATCTATCTATCTATCTATATCTATCTATCCCGTTATTTTCATTACTATCTATCTATCTATCTATCTATCTATCTATCTATCTATCTATGTATCCCGTTATTTTCATTACTATCTATCTATCTATCTATCTATGTATCCCGTTATTTTCATTACTATCTATCTATCTATCTATCTATCTATCTATCTATCTATCTATCTGTCCCGTTATTTCCATTACTATCTATCTATCTATGAAAGATCATTTCTTTTCTATCTATCTATCTATCTATTTATCTATCTATCTATCTATCTATCTATCTATCTATCTATCTATCTATCTATCTATCTATCTATTCTGTTCCCTTCATTACTATGTCTCTGTCTATGTCAGTCTGCTCATAACCTTTCTTCTATATACCTCGGTAAAAAGTCTATTTAAATCGCATGTGAAATTTATTTCAATTTCTATGAATTTTCACCTCATATTTAAAAAAGGAGATATTTTTGATTGAACTCTCACCAGTTCCAAAAATACTAGAGAGTCACTATCAATTATGAAGTAATTGTAACCCAAACTTCGTATATAACATGGCAGATAGCATTTGAAAGTAAATCACCAGCCAGCCTCTAAAGATCAGACAAGAAGAAATGAGAAAATCTTTCATCTGAAATGGAACGAAAGAATAAAAATCTAACCTGGAAAATGTGTAAAATAAAAGAAGCGTTGCATAGATTTTTGTTTTTTTTTGTTTTTTTTTTCAAAAAGAACCTCCCTAAGAAATGTGTGTCCGTTTAAGGTATATATGGAAACGACTGCTCAGAAGAAAAAGTCATATATACCTGTGAAGAACGTCTTTATCATTATGTAGCATTCGCCTCGATTTTCTTGTTATTTATAGGTGAATTTCTTGCAGTACTTTTATAGCAAGAGGTTGAGATTTAGTTACCAGGATTTATGACTTCTGGAAAAAGTGAACAAAATATCCTGATTAACTTTTAAAGACTACGTTGTGCAATCAATACATATATTAATCATTTGACAGCTAAGGAAATGAAACAACTAAGATGCAATGGTTTATCGAGAAGGAAAGAAATTAAGAAAACGTTACAGGAAAGAAAGGACTATAAAAGAACGATATTGAAGAAGACTGAAGTTGACGATCGATGTTGCATCTAACTTTTTGAAAATCGTGGATGACTGGAAAGCAAGAAGCCAGAAGAGATTTCTACAATGAGAAGCGAGAGAGAAGTAACTTTTAGAATAGAATCTACGTTTACATCTAGCAATTTCAACAGTAAAATGATGTGGTCTTGTTGTCAATCTAGTTCTGTGTTTAACCCCTTGAGTTCCGCGTTCCTGAACAATTTTACCCATTCTGCCTGAGCTCCTGAGTCAAAATTCGTAAATAATTGGTAAGTAATGTTTCAAGTTGGGTATAAAATTAGTTACCAAACCTATAAGCATTATACTTTACGGAAAGAAAGTATGATTTCATGCTTTCACTTTATGGCCAGAATTCTTTCTTTGTGTCCCAGTCTACTCAAATAAGACAACCAATAGCAAAATACGACGCAAGTGTTTACCCACCGTTCAACCGGTAATTGGGTATTAAGTCATTTTTCTCTACCACCGGTAAAGCGGTGGTCAGGTTTCAAAGGGTTAAATTCATACGATCTAGATACCGTAGAGGAAATTTTATTAGAATAATCGTCATGGGAATATTTAAAAGTTGCAGGGAAGCTATGTTACATCAGTGGGAAAGTGAGTGAAATCGAGATGCCAGATCAGAACCGATAACGTAGCAGATTGTTCTTTTGGATTTTGTCAATTCTATCAAGGTACGTAGCAGAAGTACAAGAGTAAATGTGGCGGTAGTATTTAATGCGTAGAGAGATGGTAGAAAATATTGCTCAAAACATTGTGGGGAAAACACTTAAAATACAACAGAGAATAATTCATTGAATAACGAAAATGATTAATTTCAGACTTTTAGACTGTAGCTCTTTTTTTTTTTCTTTCTTTATTTATCATTTTTGTTCTTTTCTTTACTTTTCATTGCTTTTTTTTAAAAAAAAATTTATTTGATTCATCGATGTAGATTTCCTAAACTTGTATCTTTCAAAAAATAATTGAGGTTTTTGATGGATGGTATTTAGTCTTAAAAAAAAGAAAAAAAAACCTGAAGTAAGTCATGTACACAAAATGTTGTAGACAAAATCTTAACAGAATACATTTCGACATTTCTTAACTGTTCTGAAAGTTAAATAAAATTTCTGTTCGTCAACCACATGAAGAATCGAGGACGTTACACAATAAAAAAAATTTTTAAAAAATAGTTGTTTATTAGATCTGACCATAAGAAACAGCGATGAAGTATTTTACCAGCCATGTCATACATTCAGATGTTAAAAAATATCTCAACATGGTTAAAATTTTGTAAGTTTTTTTTAGACAACATCGACAAAAATGTAGTTTCTTGTTTAGGCAAATGTTTTTGCGATAGTTGTTTTCACAATTTTTTTCTTTTGCGAAAGATTTTTCTTCTCAATTTAATAATTTTAAGTATATGTGTATATGCATAATCATGTTCTTTTAAAAAATGTATGTAAATTTTCTTTGCTTCGTTTTAAACAATGTTAAGGAAATCTTAGCAATATCTGAGAAGGGTACTCACCTCACATGTACAACAGTACGTCAACTACAAGTGTTAGGAAAATTGAGAAAGAAAGAAAATTGGTTCCACATAAATGTTCTGGAGAGGAAAATCAGTAAGCGTTTAAGTAAAAGTTGTCCTATTTTAGATTCTAATAACATTAGGAAATGTCCATATGGCTGCTTTTTTTTCTGAACATGTTTTTGTTTTGACAATATCGCAATATAACAAAAATGTAGGTTCTTCTTTTGACGTAAATTTATCTTCATTACCAAACTTTTTTTTCCTTTCTGTGACACCATTTTATTATATTGAAAACGATCTACATTACGAAGCTATGAGTTCGACATCAAATACCAGGAAAAATTTTCATTGAGAAATTGTAAATATATATTCAATAGACATATATATATATATATATATATATATATATGTATTAAGAAATGGACAAAGTCCGACAATTTATTTATTAAAGACATTTTTTTATGTTTAACGTTCTTTTTTATAGATACAAGTATTTAAGTAAATGCTCTGTTTATAATAAACAGTATTAAATAACATTTACCGGCCTGAATGTCCGAGAAATTTTCATAGAAAATATTTGTCCTTTGACAGGATTCGAACCTGCATCCTATACGCTCCTTTGTGGCCGGTCGGTAAGGCACGTCAGCGTAAATGACGGTTCCGTATAGGATGCAGGATATATATACGGTATATATATATATATATATATATATATATATATATATATATATATATATATATATATATATATATATATATATATATATATATATATATATATATATATATATATATATATATATATATATATATATATATATATATATATATATATATATATATATATATATATATATATATTTTGGAAAGATTTCCCGGTGAATTTAAATGTATAGATTCTCCTACTTGTTCCTTCTTTAACCACAAATAGAAAAACGCACACATACACACACGTGTACACATATATAAATAATTTATATTTGTATCATTATGCTTAGTTTTATGTATATCATTACATTGTATATACATATATATATATATATGTGTGTGTGTGTGTTATCATTACGTAATTGAAATTTATATATTCTTTCTTTCTAGGTAAGTGTGGCAGTCTGGTTGTCCAAGTTCTTATTTTATGTTGACCATAGGTATGTAGACTCTTTGTACTTCGTCAGTTTCAATTGATCTAAAATTGTGTTCAAACAATTTGTTGTCAGTCATAAACATCAAATTCGTTTGATCAGCTCTTTCAGCCAATAGAAATATTATTCAATTAGTCTAACTCATTTTTTCTTCTGCCACGTTCAAAATGTCGCTTTGTGACGATGTTCTTTATTAGACTCTTTCAGGTGTTCTCGTCTGACAGCCAAAGAATTGCGGTGGTTTTATTTTAATGTCAGTCTGTGTGTACTGTGATGCATCTTTAAAAAAAAAGCAGCACCGTTAAAGGATATTTTCTAAATACGAATTTTATATTTATGCAGCGAAGAAATTCCTTTTTTTTTTTTTAATCATTTCATCCCAAGGAAGGCATTAATGTCACTAGCATGCAAGTGGTTACTGAAAACGGAAAAGAACGAGAATACTTTAGTGAAGAGAAAGGTCAATAAATGAACAGGATTTCAGGAAAATAGAAGATGGCAATTGTCGTTGTGCTTTCTTTTTTTTTTTTTTTTGGTGGGGTGGTGGTTTAAGAGTGTAGATGTCAGGAAAGAATACTAAAAGAGAATTCCACAAGTGAGAAGTGCGAGTAAATAAACTGATATGTCTCGAAAAGGGATATATTTGTTCGAAGTAGCAAAGTGGTTTTGGGACTACTGTAACCCGGTAGGACAATCTAGCAGGTAACCGTAATGGACTGGTCCTCGTCGTAGTGGTAGGCAATAGCCGAAGACAATAGGTATTCTCCATGTACCGCCACATCAGTCTGTATTTATGGCTGACACCAGCCAATCATATTACTGTGAGGGGGAACCCAGGTGTATGCATATTCACTACATCAGAAACTATCCGAATAGAACTTACGGTTATATCTAGCAAGTTCAATTACCAACCTAGTACTATGCATAAAATCATGAGGCCAAGACACCAAGGACTAAAGCTAATTAAAACAATTGCCATGAAATCACTTATAGAGAAGGCACAAAGAAGCTACATTACGGCAGTGATAAAGTCACTGAAGCCGAGATGCCTGTTCAGGACCGATAACATTGGAAAACTCTTCTTGAAATTTTGTTGTGAATCACTAGGTATGTAGTATAAACAGTTTATGAATAATTTAGCATATACCATATTTATCTTTTCCTTAGAATGTTTTAATTATATTTCCCGATCACAGCGTATTTGACGGTATACAAGACGCAACAATAGATGATACTCGTCGTCATTTCATCAGTGCATATTCCGGAAAAAAAAAACCTTTAGGATATTTAAGCAACTAATGTTTTAAAAAAAAGCTATCTGTAGATAGTAAAAAGAAAACTTCAAAACTATTTTATTTATAGCAGAATGCATTACTTTAGAAAAGAAACAAACATTCTTTATCTGCTTCCTCTTTATTGATGTCCCACTGAGTATTGCCTCAATTCTTAATAACTCTCTATATTTCTTTCTATCCGTGCCTTTGTCACTTGAACTGAATTCCTCTTCATGATATATTTTTTGACAAAGTTTAACCAGGATCTCTCTATATTTCTGAGGTGAGGCATAGTAACTATTTACACTATTTACATTGTTCTGAATGTTGTCCTCATCTTTTTTTGTCATATTCACGACATTTCGGACGTTGTACGCTTCGGCCTTTATCAGGATCTCTCTATATTTCTGAGGTGAGGCATAGTAACTGTTTACACTATTTACATTGTTCTGAATGTTGTCCTCATCTTTTTTGTCATATTCACGACATTTCGGACGTTGTACGCTCCGGCCTTCATCAGGATCTCTCTATATTTCTGAGATGTGGTACTGTAACCTTTTACAATACATGCATTGTTCGGACAGCTGTCCTCATTTTTATTGTCATATTCACGACATTTCAGACGTTGTACGCTCCGGCCTTCATCGGGATCTCTCTATATTTCTGAGATGTGGTACTGTAACCTTTTACAATACATACATTGTTGGGAGAGCTGTTCTCATTTTTATTGTCATATTCACGACATTTCAGACGTTGTACGCTCCGACCTTCATCAGGATCACTCTATATTTCTGAGATGTGGTATTGTAACCTTTTACAATATATACATTGTTCTGACTGTTGTTCTCAACTTTATTGACATATTCACGATGTTTCGGCCGTTGTACGCTCCAGTCTTCTGCAGGATCTGTAGATATTCCTGAGAATAAGAATTTAGTTTATATTTAATTTGAATAAAGTGTTTATTGCCTGTTTCATGAATTTTTGCGTGTTTAAAATGTATTAGTTTATCACATTTTTCAGAACTAGGCTTTATAGCGCAACCAACTTGAGTCTTAGTGGCATACAATCTATCTATCTATCTATCTATCTATCTATCTATCTATCTATTTACATACATACATATATGTATGTATGTAAACACACACACACATATATATATATATATATAATTATTTATTTAAAAAAATTATAATATAAATATGTTATAAAATCACTACAAAAATAGTCATTTGAAACCTCGCCTGGCTATTTTTGTAGTGATTTTATAATATATTTATGTTGTAATTTTTTTAAATAAATAACAATATCTGCTCTACTCTGTATTGAGCACTCTTTTAAGAATAGTAATTGTTAGTTATTGGAATTCATTCCGAATACACCAATTATATACTTGGGTATATATATATATATATATATATATATATATATATATATATATATGTATATATATATGATGCCATGTGATATAATCTATAAAAGAAAATATAGGAAAAGAAATTAGAAAATGAAATATATGAAAAAAATGTTTGGCTGGTAAACAAAACATGAACAAATAATGCTTTGAAAAAATCCGGCTTGAAAGAAAGCAAAAAATAAATAAAAGCAGTTGGGAAGTTGTTTGCCTCATGATTAAAATGTCTACAATTTGACGGCCAATTTCTGCCGGCCATCTTAGTCACATGACTAGCCACGGCCAACCGTTGACAAATATATATTGAGACGATTTTGCTTCTTACTCTCTTTTATAAACAGTTGTATTTTAAGCGACGTCTTTTTAAACAAAATCTTTCACACACACTCACACACACATACCCATATATATATATATATATATATATATATATATATATATATATATATATATATATGTGTGTGTGTGTGTGTGTGTGTGTGTGTGTGTGTGTGTGTGTACTTTTTATTTTTGGATATTACATCAAAACGTAAAAAACGCTACAGAAATGCAATCATATTTCGATGCGTACTAACACATTTCATCGGACGTTAGTGAATAACTGGTTCTTTTCTCTTGAAAAGAGGTTGTATGTTGTTTTTAAATTTCAATAAATTGTCTATTAACTAGTTATTCACTAATGTTAAAATTAAGATTGTTACTCTACTTGAGCCCTCTTTTAAATTTAATGTTACGAACGTCGGAATTGGCTCCTATTCGTTCTCATTTCACACGGATACACACATATATATATATATATATATATATATATATATATATATATATATATATATATATATATATTGGCCAACTTGAAGGGATAGCGATGAAAATAAAATCGAGCCAATAAAGATCTGATTTATCCAAAGAGAGAAAAATTTAATCATGTCATAGTTATGAAAGAAATCGTTGACAGGTTCAGCAAAAATGTTAAATTTGTATGAATAACAATTAACGAGACATATTGATTGTGTCTTTCGCTGGTCGTTTCATTTATTTTCGTTAAAAAACAAAACAAAACAAAACTCTACCAGACTCAGGATTTTGCCCTCTCCTTTTTTTCTTATTCTTTTAATTGTTGAGTTACATTTACGAGGCATATTGAAAAGTTCTCTACATGACACACTAAAAAAACCCCAAAAAAACAAACCTGGACACAGGTCGAAAGACTAGGCTTGTTTTTTGTTAATAATTTTTTTTCCTCCTTCTTGCTCGGCTGAGAACTTTACAGAATCTCTTTTCATAGTTAAAAGTTTGATTCTTTTTCAATACTTTTTGGGTAACTTAGTTTTTCTTTTTATATTTCATACGTCTATACACTTAACGTTTGTTTATTCTGTCTGCAATTAAATGCATACACACAAACGCATGCATGCAGACATATATACATCTTAACGCTTATACATTCACATATGCGCACAGATATATCACATGCACACAAAAAGTATACATACAAATGCACAGGAAAACACACTAGCACGTATAAACAAGCGCATATATATTTATCTAAGGAAATGAATAGACTTTTTACTTTTTTTGTTGCTATAAATCTTATATTTCTTTTTACTAAAATATCGACTTTTTATTTTATTACGACTTTAATTGCTCAGGCTGATAGATAAAAAGATTTTACTTCATCCAAAAAAAAAAAAAAAGTTTTAAATATGTTGAGCGAGATATTTCTGGAAGATAATGTTTGCAAGATAAATAGTCTTTCTAATTATAATGATCGAGATCAGAGATTAACAGTAATATTTTGTTACCACAGTACAGAAACTGTATTGTTTTAATTCCCTTTGTTGGTATCTTTTGTGATTTAGGTACCTTTTTTAGATTAGTCACCGTTTTAATCACTTCCGGTTAGCTCTTTGTTAACACTCGCAGTAAATGCACATAGGTCGTAGTTTTATCATCCCCCTAATCACACCACCAATTTTAACCATCACCGGTTTCAATTCATACCTTTTCTCTTTACATTTGTCTATTTAATTATCAAGTGTATTATTTGAACATTTCTTTAAAGTATCCATATTTTATCTATTATCCTTTCAACATGTGTCCACACACTATTGTAAAATGTAACCCTCTTGTAACTTCGTTTCAGTGAACTCACTGCAACACTGAAATGTGTTCTTTTAGCAAACCTTATACATATTGATGTAAACGAAGTATTCGCTATTTTCCTTTAACCATTTGACAAATAATCTTACTTCTATGTTCAAGCCTACGGCTGCTTTTGTCATATTACGTGTTACCCTTGTTTGTTTGTATTTTCACACTAAACGAGATTTATGTATATTTATTTTCCTTTTCTAGTTTTACCCTATTGGCTTTTAATAAAGCTGCCAATGAACGGGACTTTGTCTCCAGAGTCTTGATTGCCTTAAGGTGTTATGTGACTTTGAGATTACGCAGGCTGGGGCAGACTAGTAACAAATACTCTCGAGGGCAGAACAGGTAACAAATCAATTTTATAGTCAAGTCTCCTGAAGAAAGTATATAATTTCCGCGCTACTCGGAGTAGAGATGGGATAAATAAACGCTAAATTTAATTCATACACACAGACATGTGTGTGTTCAATTATAGGGCGTATTATTTGCTATATTTATGGAGGAAGAGCATACAATGTCAGAGATAAGGTTTTTATAGGTCGTTAGATAGAGCATATAGAGAGTGGAAACATAGAAATCAGTTATACATGGTGACTGGAAGACTGGAATTTTCACTTTTCACGCGACAGTTGTTCTAATGATCGCTTGAGACGGGAAACGACCTGAAATAACATTTTCTCCCTATATATATATATATGATATATATATATATATATATCATTGTATTACATCTTGGTAATCTATTGTTTTTAACATCGGTCGTTGATAATGATTTTTCTTATCAACTTCTTTTATGTTTTATTCTGCCGACGATTATTTTTCTGAAAAAATGTCGACCGAAAGGCACCCTAAATCCTTCCTTTTTTTCTTAAACAAGATACTTTTGTATTTATTTAAAAATAAAATGGGAAATATGATTCTTTTATTCAAATAAATTTTGACTTTGTGTGACAGTAAAAAGAATCAGTTTAAAAATCTATCTATCTATCTATCTATCTATTCATTCAGTATCTATCTATCTATCCATTCATTCAGTATCTATCTATCCATTCATTCATTCAGTATCTATCTATCTATCTATCTATCTATCTATCTATCTATCTATCTATCTATATGCACCCGCGAAGTGATGCTGAAAATTTCTGTCTTGAAACACTTTTCAAAATCGGACCATATAACCAAAGACAAGAAAAAACAACGTTTCTAGGTTGGGCCTAAATCTTTATCGCAATGCGTATACATTTGCAAATTTTTACGCACACACGTTTGGAGCATTTTCTTTTCTAATTTTTATTATCTTTTCTATTAAAAATATTGGCTTCCTGCTTTCTTTTTTTTTCTTTCATTATTCTCTTCCTTCCTTCCTTCCTTCGTTCTTTCCGAACTTAAGATTTCTTTCTCACCTCGGCTCCTTCGTTTGGTTTTACCTTCGTTCTTTCATTCTTGCCTTCTTTCTAGGCTTTGTTCATTATTTTTTTAATTTATTTTTTCTTTTCTGAATCGCCCTCTCTCTCTCTCTCTTTCTCTCTCTCTCTTTATTTATTCCTTCCCTCTTTCATTTTTCCTTTCCGCCATCATCTCCTCCTTTCTTTTTTTTATTTCATTTTTTTTCCTTTCTTATTTTCTCTCCTCATTAACCCACTTCGGTTCATTCTCCTTTCTTTACTCCTTCCAACCCTCCCTTGTTTCCTTCTTTCATTTCTTCCTTCTTTCCTTCCTTCCTTCCTTCCTTCCTTCCTTCCTTCTTTCCTACCTCCTTTCTTCGTTCCTCCCTCCATCTAGTCCCTCCTTCCTTCCTTTTTATTAGTTCCCCCCTCTCTCTTCCTTCCTTCCTTCCTTCCTTCCTTCCTTCCTTCCTTCCTTCCTCTCTCTCCGTCCGTCCGTCCCTTTCTTCCTTCTTTCCTTCCTCCTTTCTTCGTTCCTCATTCCTTCCTAACTTCCTTTATTAGTTCCCCTCCCTCCCTCTTCGTCCGTCCGTCCCTTCCTTTTTTCTTTCTTTCCTTCCCCCTTTCTTCGTTCCCTCCCTCCATCTTGTCCTTCCTTCCTTTTTATTAGTTCCCCTCCTCCCTCCTCTCTCTCTTCCTTCCTTCCTTCCTTCCTTCCTCTCTCTCCGTCCGTCCGTCCTTCCCTTCCCTTCCTTTCTTCCTTCTTTCCTTCCTCCTTTCTTCGTTCCTCATTCCTTCCTAACTTCCTATATTAGTTCCCTCCCTCCCTCTCTTCCTTCCTCTTCGTCCGTCCCTTCCTTTTTTCTTTCTTTCCTTCCTCCTTTCTTCGTTCCTCCCTCCATCTTGTCCTTCCTTCCTTTTTATTAGTTCCCCTCCCTCCCTCTCTTTCTTCCTTCCTCTCTCTCCTCCGTCCCTTCCTCCTTTCTTCGTTCCTCATTCCTTCCTTCCTAACTTCCTTTATTAGTCCCCCTTCCTTCCTCTCCGTCCGTCCCTTCCTTTTTTCTTTCTTTCCTTTCTTCGTTCCTCCCTCCCTCTCGTCCTCCCTGCTTCCTAACTTTGTTCTCTTCTTTCCCGTTTTTTTTCTATCTAGCCATCGATCTCGCGAGTAGAGCTTCATTTGATGTTCTTTCTTTTTTCAAACCGTTCTAAGCTGAGACAATTTTTTCATGTCCCTATTTCTCTTTCTTTTTCTCATTTGTTATTGTTGCCTATTCTTCTTTGCTATTAACTGATAATTTTATTATTTTCTTTTGTCAATCTATTACATTTCTCTTTCGCATTATTCTGCCCAACCCCCATTCATCGACTATTTCGTTTTATTAATTTCTTTCTTCTTTCTTGTTGTATCGACTACTTTTATTTTCTACCCCACCTCTCATCGCTACGTCTTCTCTTGACTTATATACTTACTTATTTATATATTCGGAATTTGATTAATGGGAAGAAAAACGATTCGGAAAAATAAAACGCAGAAAATAAATCGTTTTATCTTCTATTGTGCGCGACGGCCATATTTGATTATGCCCTGAATTGCCTGATCGATCGGCTATTGTTGTCACAGCGCCATCTTTCTGTAAGAGTCGGAGTCGAAGAGGTGAATAAGGTATGCGGTTATTAATGTCTGGGTGTAAAGATAGTTATACAGAGTTATTTCCCCTTATTTGCCCATTGCTTTCTCAAATTTCTCTTCATTTTAGTCTGGCACACGTTCGCAAGGGAGGAAAGAAATAGTATTGTGGCAAAATTTGCAATTCGGTAGGCTAGCTAGCTTTCTTAGAAAAATTGTCACGACAAATCTTCTCTGGCCGTCCACTGGGGACATTACGGAAAGTGCAACAATCTCCCTCACCAAATAAGTTAAACTCTGAAAATTTGAAAAGAAACCTTTGTGTTTGAAAAATGCATTTAATATATATGTGACATAGGTATACGTGTATATTACTGCAGGAGGATAAACATGAATACTACCTCACACATATATATATATATATATATATATATATATATATATATATATATATATATATATATATATGTGTGTGTGTGTGTGTGATAAAATATAGTTTTAAGGTATGCTATATTTTTTTGGTTAAAGTGCTCAATATCAGAATATAAAAATGGACTTTGATGTCAATACAGATAAGCGAAAGTTCCATGCTAAACGCAATCGTCAGGCTATATATATATATATATATATATATATATATATATATATATATATATATATATATATATATATACGACATAACAACTCTGAGTTTCATGCATAACGCACTCTTCAGATGCTGAGTCGAAACTGACCGTTACATGGTTCAAATTCTTGATATATATACCAAATCTGTCGGGTTTCGATCCCGGCTGAGGTAATCGTATGTCTAGACACACTGATGAGCTGCGAAACAGTCTGTCTACAGATGACACTATTAGACTCTAACTGATAAAGATTTCACCTTAACAGTCATTCCCAATATTAAAATATTACTATTAGTATTTTTTTTATATATATTTGTTTATTAATATAATATTCGGCTTATATTAAATCCCTAATTTATTTGTGGAGAAGTTAAATATTTAAATTGCTAACAAGCATGAAATTTAATTTCTTTGTGCAGTTTTAAACATTTAAATTACTATCAGACGTTAAAATCTGTGTTAACCTAAATTGGTAAAGCTATGCCACCCCTCTCCACACAAAAAAATGTCTGCGCACCTCTTTTATCTCGTCTCCCTTTATTTCATCCCGTTTTTCTCCTTTCCTCTTTTTTCCTTTTTTTTTTTCTTATATCATTTCCGTTGAGTTGACCAATTAAATGGATCAATGTCTGATCCATCCCCCCTCCTCCGCAATATTAAGTATTGTAATAAAAATACAGATAAATTTCAAAACTCCCTCTTCCCTCTCTAAACGACCATGTCTCGCACACTATTCCTCACCACTATCTATGTCAACTTATATAATCTTAATACTGCCTGTCAAATGTGTAAATTTTAAATTCATATTTCATTTCGCCTTTGAAAGTGAAGTCTGAAGATCCAGAGAAAATAAAATTCTCTGGTGAAATAAATTATAAGTAATGGAGCCTTAAACTGGTCTGTTTTTTATTTAAATTTATATATATATATATATATATATATATATATATATATATATATATATATATCCGATGGCCTCAAGCCGGGATCAGAACCAGAATGATTAGGAATCAATCGGAGACTCTACCCCTAAGCCATTGGCTCATGGCAGGGATGAAGGTGAATTTAGACGTATTTATTTTTAGATATATATATGTGTATACATATTTCAAACGTTATTTTTTGTAGATACCCTGTTTGAAATAGATGCCACCTTCTTAATTTATTTTAAGCAATTAGTATTGTCTATCTCAAATGGGGTGACTATTTAGAACACGACAACCAATAAAAATTTGAAGTAAAAAATACTCGAATTAATACTAAATTTATTAATTCTCCACACACACACACACACACACACATATATATATATATATATATATATATATATATATATATATATATATATATATATATGCATGTATGTATATATGGAACCATCATATATAGACTGATGGGCTTTATCGATTTAGCCACAGAGGAGCGTTTCGGTTAGAAAGGTCGGTTTTACTGCCTTTAAACTACAATTCTCCATGATTTTCTCACGTACATTCATATCTGCTCGATGCGTATCCAACTGTAAACAAATGGCGTCACACATTATGAAATAGACAAAGTCCAACGATTATTTAATTTTTTACGTTATTTTTATAGATACAAATATTTAAGTAAGTGCTCTGTTTAAAATAACAGTATTAACGACATTTATCTGTCTGAATGTCAGAAATTTTCATTGAAAATATGCGTCCTCAGACAGGAATCGAACCTGTATCCTATGAGGAACTGTCATATAGCCTGTCGTGCTTTACCGATTTTTCCACAGAGAAGCGTTTAGCAAGGTCGATTTTATTGTTTTTAAATTACAATCAAATCGACCTTAAAATTATATAAGTTGACATAGAGGGTAGTGAGGGATCACTCACCACCCTCTATGTCAACTTATATAAGTTTAATACTGCCCGTCAAAAGTGTTAATTTTAATTTCATTTTTCGTTTCACCTTTTGAAAGTGATGTCTGAAGATCCAGGGAAAAATAAGTCTCTGGTGAAATAAATTATTACTATGGAGCCTTAAAGTGGTCTGTTTTTTTTTAATTATATATATATATATATATATATATATATATATAATAGGAAGATTTGAAATAATCACAATTAAGTAATTCGTCGAGTCTAGAAGAAACCTCAACAGAACGCAGAAAGCACTGGGCGGCTGTTTCGTCCTATATTTGTGACTCATACCGAGAATTGAAACCCGAACAGTTACGATAGGAGGCAATCTGTACCAAAGGGGATTCGGTTACGAATTAGATTCGATATAGCGCTGCTCGATCACATATTCTGTGGTGGAACGCATCCAAGTTTCCCTTACCCATAGGACTGTGTCCCCACGGAATATCGAGCGGCGCTATATCGAGTTTAATTCGTTACCTCTTCGTCACTGAGTCCCGTTGGTTTGGCGTTTGGCTCCTATCGTAACTGTTCGGGTTTCAATTCTCGGTGGTGGGTGCGCACTGCTGATGAGTCCCAAATGTAGGAGGAAACGGACGTCCAGTGCTTTCTGCATTCTGTTGAGGTTTTCTTCTAGACTCAATTATATAATTATATATATATATATATATATATATATATATATATATATATATAAGCAAGTGTAAATGGATATAAATCCGACAGAATGTAGAAATTTTGAAAAACAAGCAAAAATCCATAAATGTAGTTAAAAATGAAAGAATTTCATTTTTAACTACATTATGGATTTTTGTTTGTTTTTCAAAATTTCTACATATATATATATATATATATATATATCATAATTAAGTAATTCATATTACTAAGTAAATCATATATATATATATATATATGGTGAGTAATTGAATGAGAAAATAAAAAAATCCTATGTGATGCGCTTCGTCCATCCGAAGGACTTCTTCAAAAAATTGATTTTTTCTTATGGGATCATATATATGCTGTAGGTGGAGAACGAAATATGACGAACATTGGTAATGCTTATCCCTCAAGGGAGACACTGAAGATGTAAGGACGCTAGCTGGCCTCAGTCACGTTTGTACTGCTTTTGCTTTTTTTAATATCCCACATTGTAGATTCGACTGAAATTCGAACTCGGCTCTTTGGGAAATCGGAGAGCCGAGTTCGAATTTCAGTCGAATCCATTACATTCCCTTACGTGCTAATACCCTTGGTAAAGATATGAATCCCCTTCTCTTCCTCCAGCTATGGGTAAATAGCAGGACAGACCGAGTTCTATAGCTTTGGATGGCAACTGGTCTACCGTAGAAAGAAATTTCAACCAACTGCGGGAAAAAATCTGCCTCTTCAGTCATGTATCGAAAGATACATGATCGCCTAAACGTGTATCACGCATGGCATATAACTGACTGTATTGCTAAATCATTATTATCTCGAAAAACAAAATCTTACACTCTGGAAATGTTTTCTGGCTTTAAATAACCCTCACATGAAAATGAATGAATAAATCAATTCATTTGTAAGGAAATTGTCTTGAACTTATGTATATCTAATATTAATATTAGGATTTATATTACGTAGCAGTTCAGGACTCTTTTCTAACGAAATCTTTTTTTTAAGCTCTTAATACTTTGTTTAGATTTTGAAAGGTATCTCTTGCTATTCCAATACACCATTAGATTTCAGTGTGAGACTTTTACCATTCTTTAAAACACTTCCCAAGTATTTAATTCTTCGTACTTGATTTTGAAACTGTCAACCGTCCTGGGTATGACGATAAACTACATTTGGCACATAACTGGCTGGCATTGTAATAGCAGTAGTTTTGTGAAGAGAGGCGATAGACTGTATGATTTTGAATGGAGATTCATCGTAGAAGACTCAGAAAATAGGGCACTTTCTGTATATCCTTTCTATACATCATTTCGATGGACGAAAAGCGACACAGAATTTTTCCATTTCGTCATTTATTTACCCAGCATTAGTTT